AGAAAGGGTAAGTGCATGTTTTTAATTACGGGCAAGCCTGGGGACGTTGCAGTGAATACAGCCACTTGCCCCCTCCCAATTCCAGATGCAAATGGTCTGTTCCCCAAATTACTGCTGACTGGCCTGGGATTGGGTTTTATTGCAGACAAGCAAGCCAATTCTTTGAGGGTGAGGTTAATTCAAGCAGCCCCATGTAGAGCCTTATCCTGCAAATGGTTAAATGCTTAACCATGCCTGCAAAAATTAGTCAAGTGCAAAGCTACCTTTCTAAGGGTTTGTGGGACTGAAGCTGTAGCCCCCTTTTCTCCCCTAGTTTCCCTAGTACTTTTCCCTGATGGAAAAAAAAAAAGTGAAGTTGGTGAATCTGACTATGACTTGTCCTATATTCCTTTTAAATATAAAACCAAACTCAAGCTGTCTAAAGATTGTGCTGTCTTCATTTATAGAATTAATTCAAACATCAGGATTCTGTTGATTGGAGAAAACAGCAGATTTGTCCCAAAGTGGCAAACCTCACAATATCAAAATAGCTCTCAAAACATTAAAATTAAAAAAGTCTGCTCCTACTGCCTGGTCAGTAAAGGCACCCTAGGAATACCAGTGTGCATGCTAGGAAACAAATCAGTGCATTAAATGTGTGTTATCCAAAACTTCTGATCTTTCTTAGCTGCTGGTTTAGGAATACAAATTCTACTGCATTAAGCAGAAAAAGGGAATAGATATTTTTATTTAAACCAGAGTAACTCAAAGTGGCCATAATAACCCATTTGTGTTGCTTTTGTACTTGGGTAATGAATGACTGTAGTATAAAGTGCTCCTAGTTTTTGCCTCAAGGTCTTGTCAATCATTACCTGATAAATAAAAACTTCAAACAGGCTCCTTTTAGCTTAATTGGGCAGAATTTCTCTCCAAAGGAACAGCTGAATACAGAGAATAATGTGCTTGTGGCAGCAATGGAAGTCAGCAGAGTATTTGGATAGAAACATACAGAGGATGCACATTCTGAGCTCAAAAGATGAGTCTTTTTGGTTTTACTTGTCCAGAAAGTGTCTGTTCCCGCTGCAGGCAGAGCTGAAAGGATTGAATAGAGCAGCAGAGGAAATCCCGCGGCCCTTGGCAACGCCGCCGAGCTGCGCTTGTGCAAGCTCTGCTCTCCCTCTCTGGTTCTAGGCTTTACAGCTGGCACTTCCATAAGAATCAGAAATCTTAAAATTACACTAAGGCTTACTTAAATAATTATCTTTTATTATATGAACATTGGCAGCAACGGAAGCCGTTTCCTGCGTAGGGACAAACGGATCCTATTGTCAGTACTGGAACAGATCTAAAACAGCTCAATTAAGCAAACATAACATCCTCAAAGTTTGGCCTGAAAGGAAGTTAGAATAACTGATCTATAAAATGTTTTAAATGTGCTTTAAAATGTCATTACTCAGATAAATCTAGCCGTTTCGAAGCTGGTTCACTACAGTTTTATGGCCCTGCCAGTTTATGGCAGCATACGTATTCATGTCAAGAATTCCCCTTCCAGAACAGTAGATGAGGAGACAAAGCCACAGTAGCGCTGCGGACCGAGGGGAGGCTGCAACCAGCTTGGGAATGGAGTTTTGGCTCCCAGGCTGGGAAAGCTGCTACAAAGCCTATCCAGCAAGTTGTGTGTGTTTGTGGCAGAGCTGGAAACCAACCGATATTTCATGATATAAGGCTGGACGTGTTGAAGTTAGTGGTAAAGCTTCTGTTGGCTGCAAGGCTGGCACTGTAAAGCAGGATGATTTTTTTTTTTTTTTTTTTTTTTTTTTTTTTTTTTTTTTTTTTTTTTTTTTTTAAATTTTTCCTCCACTTGCTGGAACCACCTCTGACTTACACTGGGTCTAAATGTAGAGAATTGGGACCATACTGAGAAATACCAGAGGATCCTCCTTCTAAAATTAGTCTAGGCATAGAAAAGCCGAGTAGGCATCAGTTTGGGTCAATAAAGATCTTTCCACTGATGCTTTGCTGGACTTCAGATCAGTGCATGAAGCAAATTTACTTATGAATTTGTAATTACTTGTGAAAGATGGTAGTTTAACTCCAAAATGCTGATGATTTAAGCCCCTGGATCAGCAAATACATCTACATAAACTGGCACAAATCTGCTCACAGTTCAAAGTAAACAAGAACCCAAAAATTGCTGTTATGCCCTGAAGATACAATGTTTAGTTAATACAGGGATTTAGGCCGTTATTTTTTTTCAGCTGCCTCCATAGCAATGCGGTGTGGTATCCACAGTAGGAAACCTCGTGCCAGCAGCATCTCTGAAATATGCTAAAACAATCTAAATTAGAAAATGTCAGCTTCTTGGCTGATGTTCCGTTGGAGTTTCTTTTTTCCTTTCTTGTGCCTCTATAATTTTATTGGGATGACTAAATCTCTGAACTATGTTAGCAGTAAACAGAACTAATTTACCCCCTGCTTCTTTGAAACAGCTGCTGACAGCTGCACTATAATTCAATCATGGATCTTTGCAGTGCAGTCTGCAAAACATATTCATATTTTTCTGTATTCTTCCCTTGCTGTTGTATTTGCACTGAAGGAGTCGCACCAAATAGCGATGCGCCAATTTTGCCCGTACATAGAGATTGATCTACGTGAAAACAGAGGCTTGAGATGAAATATTGCCCAGCCAAAAAGGTTCTTTGGACATGGGGGAGAATAACCACACAGATACACAGTGTTGTTGGGATATCTTTTGTAAAGTTGCAATGATTTATTTTACTAGTTTGTACAAAAGGCTTCTGACAACTGCTCTATGAAAAGAACCAGAAACTTGTGTGCATTTTTGCCAACTGTTAATAAATATCTTCTTAAATAAGGAAACAAATGTGTTTAGGAACCGAGAATCATTTTTCCTGGATGTGATTGAAAAGGAATTCAGAGATGGAAATAAATAATTCTTCTTCCGCTTGTGACAACTATTTACATTAAAATGTACAAACAGTGAAGCTGATGTTGAGCCTAGCAACAGAAATACAGAAATCCTGTTATGATGTTTTTTAAAAAAAAAACCAAACCACAAAACAAAAACAAAACAGAAACAATCCCCACATAATATTTAATATATGAATCCTATACAGCAAGATACCGTGGTCCAAGTTAAAAATGCAATACACCAACACAGTGACCACCAACACTGAAACACCCACAAGAAAAACTAATCCTTGACTACTAAATAGTGGAAGTTTAGGCATGTTTAGCTTTTAACTTTCTAGGCAGCACCTTAACTTCCTTTAGGAGGTTTACAGAAGCACTCGTGTATATATGTATACAATGTCAAAAGACGCTTCTAATCTGTGCGATTTCAATACCTCTCTCTAAGTAAGAGATGCACTGAGGGCAGTTTTGGCTCTTTATCGTAGACGGTCTTGTCTGCAGGCTCCAGGCAGAGATGGTGGTCTGGCTTCAGCTGTTGTCCTGCCATTTGGCCGTCTGTAACTACGTGGCCAAAGCCTCGCCTCGGGGCAGTTAGGAAGTTTGCCGGAGTCGCGCTGGACTGCCAGCCTGGTCCTGCAGATGTTTGAGTCACCTGGGTTGGAAGCCGGGCACATCTGGCAACGTGGCAACTGCTCACCGAGGCCCCAGTCCCAAACCTACCAATGCCATGGAGAGACTTCCACTTTTCCATGAGCCTAATCCTGCTACTGAGAAAACTGCTGGGAAAACACCAATTGACTTAAATGAGATTAGAATTAGACCATCAGAAACAAGTTTCCAATTTATTTCATAGACAGTATTTCTTTTCTTCCTTTGCCGATTCTTTTTAAAGTAAGGCATCTGGTCTGGATTTGATCTGTGTCTTAAAGGAAGAAGAGCAGCGAGCGATTTCCACAATCGGGTGGTTGCGTTCATTTATCTTCTTTCTCTAACTCTCCTCTAAGGCAAGGTATGGAGCCAAGTTCCCAGTGCGGCTGCGTTGCCCTGTCTGCTCACCGAGCAGAGAGAACGATCTCCAGCCATTTATTATGTTCAGGACCCATCTGTTGGAGGTTTAGGTTTTTGAAGTTTGGAGATTTAGAGCTGGGTGTGCTGCGGACCTGGCGTTTTATTGGACAGGATTTTCTTTTTTATCTCCCCGGTGAAATTTATGCCAATCCTACTTTTGTAATCACAACGTATGCCAAAGTGTTGAATTGGTTTGTGACTGGTTACTGCTACTTTGTATTCTTATTCACAACTTTATTTGAGTTTTAATTGCATAAGTGTGATGTTTGTGTAACCTGTGACTTTAAAAGAAGCAAAAAGAAAAGCCTTGAGGGGACATTTTCTTGCTCCTGGTTCCAGCTTGTTGGTGTGGCTCCTGAAAGGGATTTTTTTTTTTTTTTTTTTTTTTAAGGTGAAGCCAGTAATAAAGCAGGGGGTTTATTGTAAACAGTGACCCTGGGAAGTAAGGTTTCCTAGCTTGTTTCTAGCTGAACCTGTGTGGTGCTGGGCGTACGCCCCAGCTGACAGCACCTTCTGCACTTGAGCCTCCCTGTTTTCAAAAAACCATTGGAACTTGTTCTGTCAGTGAAGTCAATGGATATTTTCCAAACAGGAGCAGGATCTTGAGCTGGCTTTCACAACTCTGTAACTTGCTTAGGATACCCCAGCTAAACGTTAGGTTTAATCCTTGTTTCTTAACATTTTGCTGCTTTCCTGTTTCAAGTTCATAGCAAATTCAGATTCTTTCTGGTTGCTAGAGGAGAATTCCTTCCCTGTTGACACAAAAAAGTATACCCAAAAAGTCTTGCTCTTTCGAATTATTTTCCTCAGTTCTTTTGCTTGCCAATTAGAAAATTCTTTTTTTTTTTTTAGACTGATCTGTCCTTTGAATTTGCGTCAATCCAGATACAGCTTTTGCTACTATAATTTAAAACTGGAAGTTGCATGTAATTAATCTTTTTTTTCCCTTATGAAATGGAAGCAAATAGAGGGATGGAAGTAATAATTCTCTTACAAAATACCTGTTCACTCCAGGTATATTTTGTTCACTTATTTTATTGCAAACTGTGTTACAGGAACTACACACGCATTAGTCACAGCACATTCTCACCCTGGATAGATTATTATTTTTTAACTCACAGTCAACACTGGTGAGTTTGCAATCTTCAGAAAGACTCATTTGCAAAAGTATGTATTGTAGGAGCCAATTTTGTAGGCAGATTTGGTTTTAAATGGTTTCTCTGGCTCGTTTCAGTTTACAAGCTCATTGTCTGTAATAAACTAAAACAAAATGTGTTCAAATGCCACTTAGATCCAGAAACTGTTCCATTGTCTGAACTTTCAGAAGCCTGGTCCTAAAAACCATTTGGGATTTTTTTAAACCCATTGCTGGAGTGCTAACCTTTTCCCCTCCCCCACACAGCCATACAAAACCACTCTTTACAAATAACTTTTTTTTTTTCTTTCCTACAAATCTAATGACAGCCACATGCTCGTACCACCATGTTCCTGTATTTTTTTAAGATAACATTGGAGCTGTCATCAAAATAGAGCACTGAGATGGCATTGAGTTGTGTAGGAGCACAGCAGGGTTTCGGCACAGTCTCTGGGTTTATAAAGTGAACCTGGGGAATGAAAGTAGAGGCATGTTAAGATTTACTTTTCCCCTCTCCTCCCCCGTATTTTTCTTTCCCAGGCAACCTTCTGCCTGTCTCATACACTCACTCAGACATGTTTTGAACCCCGGCTTTGTGTACAAACATCTTGAGATGTCCCCTGCACGTACAGAGGCTGACGCACGCACCCAAGACGGATCTAGTTGGAAATCTTTCAGTGAGGCAGGTTTTTATTAGAAAATTCCCATTTGCCAGAGCAGTCAGCCCTCTCCAGAAGCGTACCAGTTACGATAAACTCTGCGGGACATGTGGGTGAGGTTTTGTGAGAAATCCCATCAGCTCTGGGTGGGGGCCCCTGTCCCTGCGGCTGGCAGCACCGAGACCCAGCTGGGGCCAAGGGCTCCGGGTCCCCTGCGCTCCCCACTGCGGGACCTCCAAGGAGAAGGGGAAAAAGCAAATAAAAAGCAATCTACCAGGAGAAAAACGTGCAGATATTTCTTCCCTTGGAATCGTGGACGCTTCTGGTTTCCCTAATGCTTTTTGCAACGTTGTCCTTAGATGTGCACGGGACATGGGATGTAGATACAAAGGTGGAGTGAGCCTCCTCGTGCCCTGCTGATGTGTGCAGGGGGCCTGGGCCGCTGAGCTGGACCCAAGCTGGGTAGGGGAGGGTGTCCAGGCAGGTCAGCTGGGGGTGCTGCATAGCCGGGGCACTCGGGACTGGCATGTCTTCTGGCCCGTGCCAAGAGCTGTGGTGCATTGGCTTTGGTGACACGGCTGGGGCTGGGTGGCCCCCAGCCAGCAGTCCCCCTGAGCACAAGCGCTGTGTCGTGAGGACACGCCAGCCTGGGGCTCCCATCTGGACATCTTTGCACAATTTCATAACAAAAATACACCCCCAGAGCAGCTGAACTGTGTAATTTTGAGATTCACCGACCCCTTCCTCAGTCTACCCCCAAATCCGCTTTTGGTGGCAACCTACAGTGGATCCTTACAGAGTTTTCCCAAGAGATGCTGATAGTGGGTCTCACATCATGCTCTTGCCTTCCCGTGCAGTGGGACTACACTACCATTAAGATGTCTATCATAGGGCCTTTGAAACTAGAGAGAGCATGTCAATGCTTGCAGCAAAGGCAGGGTAATAATTCCTAGCCAACTATTAATTCAGGACACTTGGCTAGATATGTTTAGCCAGATGCTGCAGGCATCTTAATGAGCTAATGCAGACCTTCCTTCTCTTGTTAGCTTAGAGATTTTTTTTGTGTATAAACTTATTTCTGAGTAGCACCTATCAGAAATAACTCTGTACTAGCAGTTACAGTGCACACCTACCAGTGTCTGTACAATGGCATGATTTGTAGCATTCATGTACGAATTCAACGGGAAAGCACATTCTCCTTCACAGTAATAGGCAGCGTAGCCCTCCGGAGCGATGATCCAGTCCTTGATTAAATTGAAGATATTAGATTGTGGAGAAAGACAGAAATAAGGTGCAGTGAAACAAAAAGTAGAACGGCACATAAATCTAACAATTCATACATCTACATACAATTACAGTAGCCTGCAAAGTAAAAATCTGGTACTCTGGCCTTTCCAATGCTATCTAATACACCTCTCGAGCGGCTGCTTTTCCTGGAGGGACGTATCCCACTTTGCAAACATGCCCATAACGTAGCTGGGCTTAGTTGTTTATCCATTCAGCAGTGTCCTCCCAGCTGTCCACAAGGATCACCTCACCCATCGCTGAAAGCAGGTACAAGCTTTCAGAAATGAAAACGTGTTTAACCAGGTCTAAAAGAATTGATAGATAAAAATGGAGAGCCGCATGTGCGTTCAGCACTGCCAGAGGAAATTCAGGGGGCCACAGTTTCTCCAAAGGACGTGTGTTGAGTTTCTAGCCAGTCTCACACTAAATATTTGTATACCCTAACTTTGCAGAAATGCTTCTTAAGTATGCTAAAGGCAATATACAGTTTTTTCTCCCCGCAATAAAAAAAAATACCTAATTATTGGCTTGTTCTCACTATTGCAGCTCAATAAGTGATGTTCGAAGGCACCCCAGCTCGCCCCCCGGTCACTCACAGCCCTTACCTGCCACCCCAGGTCCCTGAAGCTGACGTAGAGCTCGTGCTTCTTGCAGGCTTGTCGCTGGTCGCTGCTGCTGTTCTCTGTGCGGGGGGGAAAGGGGGTCTGTAAGGCCCCAGCACCCACAGCCCTCGGCAATGAGGGAGCGTGGCATCACTGCTCATCTGTTGCACTTGTGGCTTATTTTTCTTTAAACATTTTCAGTTTCAGTCATAAAATAATGGCTGGGTTCTATACATATGAAATGCCCCTCTGAGAAAATAGCTTTTTTTTTTTTCCTTTTTTTCCCGGGCTTCCTCTGACCTCATGTTAGCAAAAAGCAGATCTCTCTGATTATTGCCTACTATACAAAATGTGAAAGGAGTGATAGGGCAAGGCACCATTTACCTATTTTCTAAATTTCTAACTGTCTTTGAATCACCTGCATTACTGGTGATGGTTGCACCTTCAGGCCTACAAAGGCAACGTATGACATTAAGGTAACGTGAAATCTGTTCTTCTGTCCAGTGCAGCTGGATCCAGATTACAGACTTCTCGCAGTGAGTAACAATGCTGAAGCCAAAGAATAAAGCATGGGTCTGAATCGGGGATCTGACCAACCATGGCTATCAGTGCAGTTTTAAAGCTGTGTCCATCCTGGGCATATAGCCTGAGCTTGGAGACCCAAGTAGAAGTACCAGAAAATATTTTTTTCAACTCTTGTTGTTGAAAACTAACTCAACATGGGGTCCCCAAGCTGGAAGGAGGACATTGGTTACAGGGACTTTTCTAACCTACGCGCAGAAGTAAGAAATTCTTTTGTCCATTACCCATCCTTTAAAAATTGAATCGATACAGCAAACATGATAAAAATGCACAATTAAACCGTAGACCGTCTATGCTTAGGGACCTGCAAAACCCAGAGCTTCGAAACATAAGCCATGGAAAACCATTTTAAGAGACTCTAGGATTTTGGGTGAGAGGTACAGAAATACCTACATGTGGGCAGGTCAGAGAAGCCACACCTATCACCAGGGCTGCAGAAAAACATCACTAGTTCTAGGACAGGAGTGACCTGATTAAATATCGGGAAGCTGCAAGAAGACTGATGGGAGAGAGTTCTCCCATAGCCTTGCAGGTTACCCCAAGCAACCCAAGGCAAAGGTGAGTCACGTAAGACGATGTTGTGCCCTACGTTGTACTTCTCCTTCCACCTCTTGCAAGCTCTCCTTCCGTTCAGTGAAACGCCCACAGAAACAGAGCTGGAATTTGCCACTGCCCTCAGCGGAGCTGGCCCTTCCTGCTGGGAAGGTCACCAAGGGCCCATTATTCTGAGGTATCTCGTAATTAAGCCACGTTTCTATTTCAAATGCCTGACGGAGTTTTCTTCCATATTAGGAAGCACAGCTCCCCCCAAAATAGCTGCGGTTATCCTGAGCAATGAATGGGTTTTCCTCTTCCATGCAAAACTTTTGGGACTACTAAACTTCTTGGGGGCTAAACTTAAAATCCCAAACTCTGAAAATCTACAGCATTTTGTTTCAGATCCACTGAAATATATCATTGTTTTGATCATGTACTCATTGGATTAATGTAATTATCTTACATTTCAAAATAAGAATTTATTTCATGTGGGAGAAACAGATTTTCTGGTTAGATGGCTTTTTTTTTAATATTGGATTAAGAAATTCCTCAGCTTAACATTGTTTCAAAGAAACATTATTTTTCTAATTTTTTTTTTAATAATCCCTAATCCCAGGTAGTTTCAAACCAGCAAGAGAACACTAGTGGTAGACCAAAGAGAAAACAAACAGGCTGAGTATGGGAGAAACCGCTCCCATCCAGTGCCAAGCCCAGCAGAGCATTATCCCACACCCAGAAACACAGACCCGGCAACCCGCGCTGTACCTGCGATGTTTGACACCCGGAAAGCTTCCTGGTTCTTTGGCGTTTTTGATCGATTCTGGCTCCTTTGCTTCCCTCCCGTGGAGCGAATACTGCGGAGATGGACCTCGGTGGCTTTGAAGAAGGCTACCGTGAACGGCTGCTTGTTCTGCGGGCCGTGCCTTCCAATGAGACCCGCCAGTTTGGGATTGATGCTTTGCCCTTAGTAACAGAATGGACCGATAAGAGCGCTTGCAGTAACTTTTCATTTTCAGCAGACATAGTAAGGGTAACAAGGAGAGCTGCTGGCTGGCTGCTAAGGGTGACTCCTAGGCATGTCTGTATGCGGCGATCCACCAAGGGCCTGGACTTAATCGGCAAAGCTGCTTCTGAAAAGAGCAGCTCAGCACAGCTAACTTCATTTTATATCTGCATGTAAAAGTTACATAAAATAGTCCTACATATAATTATTTTACCCTAAATCCGCTTAGCATTAACTTTTCCTGCATTCTTTAGAGGGGTTTCTTTAAGTTCAGCAACCTATAATTTGAAGAGATCCTATAAAAGTTACCATAAAACTCAGCCCATAGGAACACTAAATTCCCACTGGAAGGTTATTAACTTAAAATAAAAATGCTTTGTATGAAATGTTGACAGAGTTCCAGATATACTGTAGCAGAGAGAAACAAATAGTTCAGATGTTTAGAGACATTTTGCTTATTGCTGTATCTCAGCACTACTGTGTGCGGTAACTTTCTTTGAAAACTGTTGATTACTGTTCATACTTCCTTCATCCTGGGCTTTTAAAATAATTTTATTTTTGGTAAAAGATGATTAGGTGGGTTCTCTGTACAATTAAATCAATTATTTACAAAAGATGCAAGGAGCGGCTGGCAGCAGGAAATTTAACATTTCTCCCTGTTGCCTCCCAAGGGTGCCTGGGTGCTGTCATGAAATCCAGGGGCGAAATCCAGATTTATTCTGTTCCAAGCTACTGAGTACTGCTGCTAAGTCAAAGTTATGTTAGTGGCTCTTGTGATCCTTTTGCTAAGGACAGAGCTGGGCCTTGTCAGCCACAAACCAAATACGCCCAAGGATGGCTGACACTTTCCTAGAGAAGCCCTGAAGAAGCCCAGAAGCCTGGCTGGGGGGAGCAGGTGAGGGGCTCTGCAGTCCGCTGGCAAAAATTTCCTTATCTTACTAGTTTCTGACTATTGTGGGAAAAGAAGCTGGTAACCTCAGGTATTTCTAGGTAATATTCTATAACTGCTGTTTTTAAGACGAGTAAAGTAAATGCCAAGGCTTATAAATTATTGTCTTTATGGAATCGTTTCCATCTTTGCTCTTGCATATGGCCAAAAGATTGGTAAAGGTGACAGACCCAGAAAAGGGGGCTGTGGTCAAAGCTCGAGGCCAAGAAATGGACCGGCCTCGGCTGGAGTCCATTCTCTGTTTTTGTAAAAGTGTGCAGCCCAGGGAGCAAGTCTCAAGCTGGAATATATGGGATTTGTGGAGAGGACTGGCTCAAGAGGTGTTTTAATGGGAGCACGGCAGCTTGGCAGCGGGACGGCTGCCCGGCGTGGCCAGGTCCCATGGCACGCCACCTGCAGAGGAGTGGGGCCAGGCCTTGTAAACCAGATAAAGCAAAACTAATCTCAGACAGGGCAGCAGGAAAGCTTGGGTGAAAATAGCAACTGCAAAAACTCATGTACGCAGATTTATATGTGGACACACATCAACAACTTCTTCACCTTCTGCTTAAGCTCCTTTCCGGAAACTTGTCCAAACAGTTTTCATTTTAAATATTTGAGGCTGAGCCCACAAAGTGCTTAAGCAAGTAGCTAATGCTAAATATATAAGTAGTTCCACTTGTGCTCAGGCTTTGCCAGATCGAAGCCTTATTTCCTGAAAACAAGCTCAGCTGCAGGAGTTAGAGCTCACTGAATACCGCTGCTATGGCTTTTCCTGCCCCTTCAAAGAAGCCTTTCTGCTTCCCAAAGCTGTTTAAACCAGCAAGTACATCTACAACTGTGGTTTGTCCAGTGTAAATTATTTTACCTTTACCATGTCTCTAGAGAGTAGGTCAGCGGTATGCAGGGAGGGGACCCAGCTTCACACCGATATGTTCAATGGATTTCCACTAGCGCAGCAGTAAGTAGCGTTTGACCAATGAATTCCTCGTGTAGCACCAACGTGTCATGTTCAAAATCATTATGGTGGCAATGTTTCCTCAGCGGAAAAAAAGGCATGTAATGCTCTGTATGTGAAGCAGCATATTTCTTTTTAATAAAGATGGGAAAAATCTACTTTCTAACTTTCATTTACATCCAGAAAGCAAAGTTAAACACAAGGACGCACGCGTAGTCCCCATTAGACTATGATAAACTTCTCCCAAAAGAACTAAAGCCGTGCTCTTGAACCAGAGGGCATGGCGTTATCTGCTTTTATGAAGCTGATTTTTTAATACTGTCAAAAATGGGATCTTAAGTAATAAACTAAGTAATCCTAGGTGGGCAGCTGCTGTTCCTACGTGCTGCTGCCGAGCAAGGTGTACTGGGTGCTGGGCTGAGAGCTCGCTGAAGGCTAGTGAGCCACTCCAACACTGCTTTTGCTTGCTGCTTGAGCTCATCCCCATTTTCTAAGAGTAAGCAAATACCCTTTGATTCCACCCTAGTTATACACATCGATAGACTTATTTGGCAAGATTATAAAGAAATACAATGATCAGTTAATTAATTTCTTTTGTATAATTTCATCTGGACAGTGCTCATGATGTCAGAATTTTTTTTACACCGACTGTATGTATTGGCTTCATGGTTAGAGATCTCTATATGTAATGACAGATACAAAGAAAAGATTTTTTTTCCTAATTCACTTAGAGCTTTGGGGGTTACCCAAGCATATAGTGTTGCATCAAAATCCTGCTGTGTTTGCAGCATATGATTTTCATATGAAGTCCAGGTGTAAAAGCAGCTTTCTTGTTAGTGCACACAGTTGGTCTAAATCCAAAATGAAACTTGGGGAGCAAGGAAGGACATGTCCTTGCCATTCAAAATAGAAAGAAAAATTCACGTGTATGGCGGAGAAATGTGAGTGCAAAGGTATGCTGTCAGGGGACTTGGTTACAGAAGACAAGCAGACAATCAGCTCCTGTATCTCTGTATTTACTTTTTAAACACTGCAGTTGGCTTTTCTAACTTTAATGACAGGCCGATTAAAGTATTTTGTTAATCTATTTTTGAGAAAGCAATAAGTTACTTTGTGTATGATTTCAACCCTTTACAAACTCAGCTAGATTTTTCAGGAGTGTAAAAAGAAACCAGATTCCTAATTTTCATTGAGTTGAATAAGAGACGAGAATGCACTTATCACTGCACCTGGGCATTTCTGTCTTTGAAAGCTCTCTCTGTGATAGATCTGGCTGTATGCTTTTAAGGGTCCACTCCTGATTGCTCCAGTAGAACAGAGTTACTGTAAGTGTGTGCAAAGTTGCAGCATGTCCTTGGATGCAGGATCCTGAAAAGTCTCTGTTGAAATCTGTAATATATTCATAAATCAGCTGCCTTCCTCCTTAATGCTGAAAAAAGGGATTGACTTTTGCTGTGAAATCACTAGGTGAGGATGGGGAAGGACAGAGCGCGAAGACAACTTTATTGGTATCAGAGTGTGAGTGTGATACTATAGTATCCATAGTGTTTAGAAATATTGAGCCAGCTATCGCTTTTGTGTGGACTCTGGGCTGGGTCTTGATGGTTTTCCTATACGTGAACCACAACTGAACGAATGCGCTACGCTTGTGGACACAACTTCTGTACTTCCAAGTATTTCCTTTAGGAGGCAAACTGGAAACTAAAAACAAGGACGAGTGTTTGAAAATGGGTTAAGCTTGTCTTGGCTGTTAATTTGCCTTACAGTTTTAGCTTTAAGAGTTAAGATTAACTTGTAGATCAGGTTGAATTTGAATCTTTATAGAAAGACGGCAAAAGTCTTCTGTCATTGGGGTGGGGAGTAGTAACTTCCATGGCGAAGCTCCTGCTTTGTATCTGCGTTTGGGTTTCTGCGTTCACTGATCACTTAGAAAGGGCAGGTTAAAACAAACCCTGTGCGCAGGTCTCGCATGAGTAAAAGCACCCTTTCACGTAAATGACTGTCCATAGGCTGCCTGTTTCAAAACTGCTTTGTACAGTCTTTATGCAAACTACTACTAACTGGAAACATTCAGAGTGTTGCATAAAAACCAATACCAAGTGATATCATAGATGCATGTCTGGAGAATGAAAGTTCATAGATAACCACAATCAGGTTATTTATGAGAGTCTTGAGCTGGGTTTTGCTTAACCCCTCCTGTGGGGCAGCCAGGCAGTTCCAGATGGTCCCAGATCCTGGGAACCCTCCAGAAGATCCAGGATACTTTGGTTTCCTTGCACAAGTCTCCAAGTGAACATCAGGAATCTTAACTTTAACACATGACTTTTTAGTTAAGACCTGGTTAGGAAAATTCCCCACCTGATTCTAAACACATCCTTTCTGGAGATGTTTCAGAGCCAGGTCTTCCCACCCATTCCCAAACCTCGCAGGTTTGTACCATAAGCACGTTGCAGACCTTGGAGTCCAGACCAGGCATGACTTTACTAGTTATTTCTGCTGCCACAAAGGAAACTGAAATGGTCCCTAGCTGTTTTCTGAATTTGAAAGGACTTTTCTGCCAATTAACACCAGCCTGCTACATCACTCAGTTGTGTCTTTTCACACATAGCAAAGTTTCTTCCTCTTTCCTTGACTGGATTGCACTACCTGCAAATCAGCCAGCAGCGTGTACGTACCTTGATAGGGATGTGTATGTAGGTAATACTGAAATGACTGCAGACAGGTTACCAGTCTGTTAAAGCATTTGAGTACATCCTTAACCTGAAGTATGTCTATGGATTATTTTATTATTATTTGCATCTTGGGCAAATTCAGGAAAAACATGGTTAAGAAATTCTATTCAAATGAAAGACTACTGAATGCTTGAGGCTTCCCCTGGCTGGGAATCGTGTACCTGAAACAGAGACTCACTGATTGATGTTGGTGTCTGACACTCACCATCGATGCCTTCCACAGATAGCTGCAGGCCAAGGTTGTGTTGGGGATTCACCACCCAGTGATTACTGGTTGCAGTAATGTCAAACACCAGCCACCCTTCTTCTGCGGCCCAGATTGTTCGAGAGTCGAGCAGGAACAAATCTGAATCCCTGAAAAAAAGAAGTGTAATTCCCAGTTACCGGGCTTTCCACTGGAGTCTCTACAGACATTCGCATACATGCCTTAAGCAACGGACTTCATCGGCCTTTCAGCAATAGGCAGACTATGCCAGAGCTGGGCTGGCATGCTTTCCTGTCTAATCACCTTCAGATGAAGCACTTTTCTTCTCTTTAAAAAAGGGAGGATGGGTTGAAGCAGAGTTGAGGTGGTTTTGGGTTACTTTGCTGTTACAGTTAACCTTAGAGCTGCTGATACAGCTTCAGAAAAAACGCTTGCCAGGCACAGATTTGCAAAATTATTGTTTGCATATGCAAACTTGGTAATTGGGCAGACAATGCTGCTCATTATCCTTTCCACACATAATTTCCTGACTTTTATGCATAATTGTAGCATTGGTGCAAGCCAGCTGGAACACTGGTGTGCATATATTAACATATGTAATGGTTTTTAAATTTGTTCATCTGAGGTTACAGATAATTGATTGAGGCAATAACCCTCTGCACAGTCACAGGTCTGCATGACTTTGTGTGGCAACTTGCTTGCAATTCATTGCTTGAATTTTTTAAAGGCCACCGCTGGGTTATTCTGGTTGAAGAACTAATACCAGAAAATGAGAAATATCCGAAATAGAGAGGATTTCATGCATTTGAAAAGGGTGAAATCATTCTGGATTTACAAAACATTTCCTGGCAAATTTCTGTAAAATGAAATTTGAGAAAACACAGGTTCTGTAAAGGAAAGAATCTTCTCTTATCAGAAATTAAGAAAGAGATAAAACTTGGATGAAAAAATTGCATAGTGGTGCAGTTCCTTTATGAAAAATGACTTTACAAGAAGAACAAAGAAACACAGTGGAAGTGTCTAGACAAGTCCCGTAAGAGCTGCTTTTGTACTTACAGTGCACAAACATGATAACTTATTTAAGTGTAATTATATCCTTTTGAATGAAGAAATATCCTTGGAAAATCCTTTAATCATGTCCTCAAAGCTTAAAGAAGGCCTTATTAATTTTGTCACTATTGATTTGTCAGTGCAAATAAATATACATAATTTAGTTTACGCAGTGCCTCCTGTTTGCACGAAATACCAAATGATCAAAAATGAATCCGAGAAGTGCTGTCGGCATAGAGGCTTTTGTCTCGTAGCTTTTAGTCATTCTTTTCCCTCTGAGATACCGAGAAATTAGAGGCTTTTGTCCCACACAGCTGACTCAAAAAAGAAATGGAGTTTTATTGTGATGTTTTTACTATCTGGCTTTCCTTTCAACCTTTGTGGGCCGGGGCGTATAAGAGATGATGGCTTTCCTCCGTGAGCTAATGGATGTCACCGCCTCTGGCTCTGTGCTGGCTTGCATGAAATTAAACTTCTGAAATTAGTTCCTGCAGACCACGTAAGCACATCGCCCAGTGTGCCTAAAAGGAGGATTCTGTCGTTTCCTCACCAATGCACGATGCTGTTAACCTTTGGATACGACACGGCTGACTGTGTAGATACAGCCAATGCTGCTGAGGGTGCAATTAGTGCTGCATGTGGCAGCCTGAGGGAAAGCAGCGCCTTTCTGTGTCACCTCAATTCAGAAAGAGAAGGCAAGCTCTGATGCTTGCAAGAGATGTTTTGCAGGCTGGGATTGTAACAATTGCAATTCCTCCCTTTGCCCAGCACATCCCGGCCGTGGAAGAAGGCACGGGAGAGGGAGTTTTGCTTTCTTTTAAACAAAGTTTTGGTTTGTGGAAGAAGCCCTGCATCAGAATTGACCTTCCTGCATCACTTTCTTGCTAACACATAGCGGGTCCTATGGTGATGTCTGGGCAGCCGAAGCGGGTGGCTCAGGAAGGGGCTGTGGTGCAGCGATGGAGAGCCTCAGCCCCGGTGTTGGGAGCTGCTCTCTGGAGCTCAGTCAGCTTTGCTGGGTGCACCTAGGACAGCTGAAGATAAACAGTACGGATAACCCCCTCCCGCCCCAAACACATTAGTTACAGGAATGTAAGATGCTTGAACTCTAACTAGGGGACAAATTTCCTGGGGTTTCATCCCCACCCAGAAGCAATGGCCCTGTTCCCACTGTGCATGATGCAGCCGCATGGACACCTCCCGCCCTTCCCTGTTTACAACACGCTGAACAAAACACATCCCAGAGGAGCCGGGGACGAGGGAGTAGTACGGATTGGCCCGTTCCAATGGCTGAGTCCAAGTTTCCAGAAGTAAAGGGTTTTTATATTCACATACTGCATCATTTAAGCATGGCCTCTGACTGGAACTCATGATTCACACAAGGCTTAGTTAATAGGGACTTGGCTTGCTTGGTTTTTCTCCCTTGTACTTTGCAGGTTGAAGATAATAGCAATAATGATAACTTTTCTTGTTTTTAGCTACTGCTCAACTGCAGTATTACTCAGAAAAACCAGCCTTTAAGCTTCCCATGCTGACATGATGCAATCAGGGTAACCAGACAACATGAGGCATCAAGTACCAGGGTGAGTCAGTCTGGGAAGTTGTATAATGCATTTATTTTCCTGTAGTTACAGCAATGTGCAAACAATAGGCCTGGAGGGGAAGCCCCAAGTGAGACAGATCAAAAGGACCCACTAAAGGGAAATGTCCTTCCCACACACACTTGGAACATTTGGACCCAAAAAAGCCCGGTGTCAGATGCTGTCTGAAGAAGTTCAAGCACTCCTGGATTAGCACTTTCTACTCTGGCCCACCAGCAGCGGCCAGGGATGGGATGCAAAACCCGACTGGTGTTGCAAGCAGAAGCTCCTGAGATTGTGGTGCCTGTTCCAATGAAAAGAAACCTCTTGTTCTTTTAAAAAGAACGACCTCCCCTTCAGTGAAATGCCCTGCTCTCCAAAGACTTACGGCAAACAGCGTTAAATCACTAGCTAATAGACAGCAAGCCCTTTAGACATCATTGTTGGCCAAGACATAATAAACATGGCAAAGAAATGTTATTCTGCTTAGACTTAAACAAAATTTGCTCTGAGGGCTCCCGTCTAATGACTTGTCGTATGAGACAGTGCTAGTTAAGTCTAACTATCGTGGCTGGTTTGGGTTTTAGGTTTGAGATAAAGATCTAAGCACAAAGGGAAAAGGTTTCCAGTACACATCTCACCCTCTGGTACCTTACCTACCAACTGTACGCATATTTAGAGCATTCTTGGAGCAATGTGAATAATGGCCCTGCAACCGGGAGGCAGAAAAGCACTTTGGTTCCTTGGCCCTGCATTCTATCCCCTCATCTGAGAACTTCAGAGCATGTGAGAAACTGTACTGAACCTCCTACCAGGCCAAGAGATAGGAAGAGGCACGTGATCCTCATTTTACAGAAAATTAAGCTGGGACATGGAAATGTTAATGTCTCGATTAGAGTTACATAAACGATGAAGTCTGGATCCAGACCACAAGTATGTTTTGTTGAGACCACATCAAAATGGCTCAGCGTTCAAAGTGCTTACATCAGTGGGAATGTCAAAGCTTTTAGCAATGATAAAACTCAGGGCTTTCAGCTCAGTTTTCTCAAGCATCGGGCTGTTGATGGAGCCTAAGAGGAGGACAGGACGCTGGCACTTGTCTACTGATCGCTTTGGTAGTGTCTGGCGCTGGATGCCAGAAAAGAGAGGCACCTCCCGTTAGCACTCCCAAAAATTTGTCTACAGGTCATATAACTCCTGTGTGGTCTATGAAATTTCCTTAGTGAACTTGGTGTTTTCTGGACTCAAGGGTGAATAAGTATCGCAAAGTGAGGGTGGCTGAGGAGGATGCGTGTGAGATCGCGTCTGGAAAGCAGCTGGCGTTACGGAGGTGGAAGGGCTGAAGCTGCCAAAGGGCTGTGTGTGACCAGGGATGTGGAGGGCGGGTGGTACAAGTGGGGTAAGAAAGGGAATCGCAGGGAATTACTGGAAGAGAAAAGGACTGGAAGAAGAGAGGTTTGCGGGGCTGAGTAGAGAAATAAGGGGAGACAAAATACAGAAAAGGCAAGTAAGAGTATCCTGAAAGGAAACAGTGAGGAAGAAAATTGCCATGTTGCGACACAGTAATTCTAAGATAAGAAAAAGGATTAACAACCAAGAAGCTTCATGAAAATAGTATGTATGGCCTCTTTGCCTTTTGCTGGGGTATTTTTTCAGCTTCTAGGATGCACTTTGGTTTGTAGCCATAAACACTAGAAACATATCTAAAAATCAGAAGTGCAGCATCTCTCCTAGTCACCTGCCTTGATGAACTGGGGCATGAGAAAGAACATGGACTAACAAGAGGGACTCAGGGAAAATGTCAGAGTTGGCAATTCTGCAATAGCAAGGGAGAACAGGAGATGAAACTCTGCATGTATAAACTATAACACTATAAGGTCTGTACTGCTCTAGGGTAGCCCTCTTACCAAACAGTGCCTGCTTCTGTGTCTGTTTTCTTCACTCACTTTCCCCATCCACCTTTGTCAGCTCTGTTATATCAAGCTACTGGTTGACAAGTGGTAGTAAACACCAATGAGCACTTCCAAATGGGGTAAAAATAAATGGGAAGAAGGACAGGCACCAGAAGAGAAGGTGACTCTCAGCAACTTTCCTTACATTGCAAGCCAAGCTGATTTCGGTGACGTGCTGGCACTCTGGGTTGTGAGCAGACCCAGGTCTCACCTGGCCATGTCCTGGCAGCAGCCAGCCCAGGGCTACCGCCAGCAGGTCCTGCAGTCCCCTGCCAGCCCAAAGAGCACACCGAGGCTGCCCAGCAGCTGCACCACTCTAATCCCTACCTGCTAGTTTGAGGAATTACAGATCTAGCAGTGTTTTAAACAATAAGCATACTGTGACACTTTGCAACAGACTTTGAATTGCTTTACAAATATGGGTCAACCCTTCCGCTTCCGTTTTAAGGTGGGAAACACTTGAGGCACAGATATGTTACGTCTTATTGACTCGGCGTGTAAACCACAGCCACTAAGCCAGGAGCATAATCCTATCCTCTCGACTGGTATTCTAACCCTAAAGGGGCT